TTTAATTTTCAGTCATCATAATTAATAGTGATTAATATTGCTCTTTTAAGACCTGTATTATAAATGGGATAAAGAAAATGAAGACCTATGATATACTCTAATCTGTCATTTTCTTTGGCGTTCAGAACCATGATTCTCAGTATGGAAGAGAAGAAATACAGTTCTGAATTTGTAAAAGTCCTGGAAACAAAAAATCCCCAGCCAGTATCAAACAGCAACTCTAGCCCCCAACGTTGCATAAGACCATGGCCTCGTTACTGAATTCCAGACCCAGTAATGTGGTGGAAGTGATGTATCCACTTCTAGGCCTGGCAATACAATGTCTCATGCAATTTTTCCACTTTATTTTTTGACAAACTAAAAGCAAAGGATCCAAAAAATCCTTAAAAAGCCATAGAATATGGCTTGAACAAATGTGTTCTTTCCTCTACATCTAGTTGATAGCTTATGCTTAGACCTCTAAGAAGGCAGCATCTTCAAGGGTGGTTTTCCTATTTTCCAGGAGGCAGGTCAGCTCAAACCTGATCTATCCAGTATTCCTTTTTTTTTTTTTAATTTATTTTTTAGTTGTAGATGGACACAACATCTTTATTTTTATGTGGTGCTGAGGATCGAACCCAGTGCCTCGCATGTGTGAGGCAAGTGTTCTACTGCTGAGATATAGACCCAGCATTCTTAAACGTCAGGTGAACAGTATTAAGCATTCCTGGGAAATGCTGTAGAGAAACATTTTTTATTAAGCTACTTTCTTCAACAGGTGAAGGTTTTGAATCCATGCCTTTCTAACTGGTGATATTTTCAGATCAGCATCCATTTAATGAGAATAATTTCACTCCAATTGTCCCTTCGTCTGCATAATTTTTTCCCTGTGTTATATACTACCTGTTGACATAGGGATAGTGGTGATTGATTCAGTTGGATACAACCCCAGCTAATATCTGCATCTTCTGGATCTTTTAACTATAAACGTGTTACTGACTCCTGGTTACTGTGTCTATTACTATCATTTGTTTCTGTTTACTGTCTTACTTGTTACAGTCTCCTAAAATCACTTACAAATAGTTTCATTAACCCAGATGTCATGTAATGATTTTCTTTCTCATAAAATAGGGAGAGGGTTTTATTTTTTTTCTCTTAAAGAGTTAAAGAAGGGGCTGGGGATGTGGCTCAAGCGGTAGCGCGCTTGCCTGGCATGCGTGCGGCCCAGGTTCGATCCTCAGCACCACATACAAACAAAGATGTGGTGTCCACCGATAACTAAAAAAAAAAGATAAATAAATAAATATTAAAAAAAAGAGTTAAAGAATTTGTGGCTATGACATTTATAGCTTTTTTTTTCACAGATTATCTAGTGGTAACAACTAGTGACAAAATACTGAATTATGTCGATATATTAAAATGGGTTTGAGCTGTAAAATAACACCATACTTTATATTTCAAAGCAAGTAACCTGCTCTAAAAGGTCAGTCTTAACCAAATCACTGTTGAAAAAATGATGGATATTATTCTCCTTTAAGAGTTTCCTTATGGGACTATTTAAAGTTTGCCCTGCCTCCTTCCCCATTTGTATGGAGTATCTGTACTGTCTCAACCCAAATCAAATATTGCTTTAGGAGTTTGGGCAACATAATGATCTGCCTTGTCTTTTAGGCCTATGGCTCTGGTCAGGTGTGAAAGAACACCATTGGATATTATATTATCACTCATTGTTCTTGTAACACTGTCTCATCTTCTAGAGGTCTGCTTGCCAGTTTGATTCCATATTTAGAATCACCAGATTGTTCTCTTAAAGTAGAGGAAAGATAGATGCTTTGTTGTGGAGAGTATGAATCTTTTTTTCACTTGAAGACATCAAAGCCTGATTCATATGTACCTCCTGCTACTCCTTATGCTGTGAAAGTAGACACAACCCCTTATCTAATAGTGCCTAGAAAACAGAACATCTTCTTAAACAAGTACTGTTGCCTGTTTATATCTGGAAGAATTATCAAAATAGCGGCTGTGTTGTTTTCCTAGAGCTGTCTTGATAAAGTACCACAAAGCAGGTGGCTTTAAAAATAACCTTGAAATCTACTGTCCCACAACTCTGGAGCCTAGAAGTCTAAACTCAAGTGTTGGGAGGTCTCTGCTCCCTCTGAAACCTGTAGGGAACTCTTTCCTTCTGGTGCTTTGCCAGAAATCTTTGGCATTCATTAGCTTGTAAATGCTTCTGCTCAGTCCCCTTTGTTTTCACGTGGTGGCATTGTGTCTCCTCTTAGAAGAATCCCATCCTTTTACACTCCATCCTTCAGGCCAGCAGAGCATAAGATACAGGAACTGCAATGATTTAAATGTGTCCTGCCAAATATGGAATCAAACTGGCAAGCAGAGTTCAAGAAGATGAGACAGTGTTACAAGAACAATGAGTGATAATATAATATCCAATGGTGTTCTTTCAAACCTGACCAGAGCCATAGGCCTAAAAGACAAGGCAGATCATTATGTTGCCCAAACTCCTAAAGCGATATTTGATTTGGGTTGAGGCAGTACGGATACTCCTTACAAATGGTGGAAGGGGCAGGAGAATTTTAAATAATCCCATAAGGAAACTCTTAAAGGAGAATAACATCCATCATTTTGTCAACAGTGATTTGATTAACAAACTCAGGTGTGGTCAGTGTGATAGTATTAGGAGGAGGGTCTTTAAGAGGTGATCAGGCCATAAGGGCTCCTCCCTTGTGAATGGGATTAAATGCTACCAATATAAAAGGGCTTGATGGAGGGAGCTCCTCCCTTTTGCTTTTCTTCCTTCCAGCATTCCTCCATTCCACAGGGTACAGCACAGGGGATGAGGGCACCTTGGAAACAGAGAATAGCATTCACCAGATAATGGAACCTGCAGAGGCCTTGATCTTGAATTTTCTAGCCTCTAGAACTATGGGAAAATACATTTCTCACAGTCTTTATAAATTAGCTAGTCTATAGCAATCTATTATAGCAGCAGAAACAGACTACGAGAGAATAGAAGCAAACTTGCTAGTGGATCACTGCAAGTCCGACAGAGTAGTGCCATCTGTGTGCTCTCCAGGAGGTTGCTCAAATCAGCAGCCACTCTATGGTGGCAAATCTCACATAGCCCGTATTCCCAGGTCTAGAAAACCCAGTAGAAATGGGCAAGATCCTGCTACTGTTTAATGCAACTGTTTCCACACCCTATGTTTGACTAATCATAGTATTTTACTGATGAGTTAAAATTGACTTTCTTCAAAAAATATAATAGTTACTCATATCACTGTACATTTACATACTGCTTATACTATGGATTTTAAAGGACAATTGCAGTTAATTTGTGCCTTAGCTGACTTTTTACATTTTTTTTTTCATGGTGGGGGGCTACTCGGGATTGAACCCAGGAGTTCTTAACCACTGAGCCACATCCCAAGCTCTTTTTTATATTTTATTTTGTGTTAGGGTCTCACTAAGTTGCTTAAGGCCTTGCTAAGTTGCTGAGGCTGGCCTGGAACTTAGCAATCCTCCTGCCTCAGCTTCTGAGATTTTAGGCCTGTGCCCCAGTTCCTGCTTTTACCGTTCTTTTTTTCCTCCATCATTGATTACTTTTTAGTAGATCTACCTCAAATACCTCATTTACTTTATGAGAAAATAGGGGAAAAAAGGATAAATTTAATCACATTAATAGCAGGAGAAAAACAAACTAATACAACCAGTCAAACAAGGGAAAGAAAAGAGGGGTGAGACTTTGTGATCTTTAGTTTAAAATACTATCACTATTTTATCATAGTGATGTTAGCATTGTTACTATTTGTTTTGGGTTCTCGAATGTTAGAGTCTGTAAACAAGTCAAAATAACACCTGGCATTTTGCCAGGGGAATGTTAGAGTTTGTAAACAAGTCTGGATGGTGCCTGGCAAAACGCCAGAGGGAGTGGTTTGAGAAGTAACAAAAGGGAGCCATTAAGTGTGGAGATTCCTTATTGGTTGACTGACGTATCTAGTTTATGCTAATTAGATAAGCTGTGTGGAATGTATAAATACTGCTCCTGTCCTGCAATAAATGGCTCCTACTCCTGCTGTATCAACGTACAGAAGTTATTCGTCACCCCCCCAGTTATTTTGCTGCAGCCGTACTGCGGCACTCGAATACAAAATACATGACATTTACTGATTGACAAGAATGGTTATAATACTCCAGGATTTATTATGCCTTTCTTTCATGTATGGTTTCATTACTTAGAACATATTTTTACATTGACTCTTGTCACAAAGACCCTTAAAGTAGATTTATCACCATTTTACAAATAAGGAAACTGAGGCTCAGGATAGTTATATGATTTGTCTTTAGTCACACAACTTAGTGACACATTTGAAAACCACAGAGTTCTCTTTTTTTTTTTTACTAAGTATTCTGAGAGTTTTTACAAAGTAAATCTTCTCTAGTGAATATATAATAGAATTTACTTGATTTATTTAAAGTCTTTTATCAAAATAATGCTACATGAATGAACTTTGTTCTAAAAACTACCATAGTTTAATTTTTATTCATCATTTACTTATTAATATACTTCTAGATTAGAAAATTAAAATACGTAATGAAGCAATTTTAATGGGAAAGTAGTTATAACTTAAAATTATCACTTTTAAGTTTCTTTTAATTATGGTTTAATAATGCCCCATGCCTCATCCAACATAATTTTCACAATTGCTTCATGAGTATATCCCAAAGACATTTAAAGTTGTAGGGGACAGTGGTTCCTTTTATATATAGTTTCTGTAGTAAAGGATTATAAGTCATAAGGTATCAGTGAGTTGAGAAGATCACAGGTATAACTCCTAGAGAAAGTAATTCTCTTTGAAGGAAAATACCTATCATTACTTTTAAAACAGTCCAGTACATTAAACTTGAAGAAAAAAGCACATCTTCATGTATATCTAAATTTGTATCATGATGATCTAAATTATGATGATCTAAATTTATATTGGTCCTGATTGCTTCTTTGGCTGCAGGTACCTGCCGTATTGACCTATCCACTGAGATGAACATTAGGCACCTCAGACCCAACTATGGCTCTCCCAGAACCCTGCGTCAGCTCCTTATCCTTATCATGGTTGATGGCTAAATTCCAAGACATTCTTATTTCCTCTCTCCTTCACACCCTAGATCCAGCTTATCAGTAAGTACTGTTGGATTTACTCTCAGAGTCTATCCTGAGTCCGACTACATCTTGAAACCTTCACTGTTTGAACTTCACCCCAGTTCAAGTCGTCATCATCATGTCTCACTGCACTTTTACAGTAGTTTTTTTGCTAAATGTCCTTCTGCTTCTACTTCACCATTACCCTATGGTCCAGTCTTCAGATGGATGTCAGAGTGACAACACAATTTTTAGAGTAAAACCATATCTGTTTCCCCACAGCCCAAAACTTTTGGATGGTTAATTATAATCACAACCCATCTAGAATATGACCCACTGCCCTAACCGTAGCCTAAAGATCTACATACCCTCCATCTTGTGTCCAACACTACAGTCCCCCTACCACTGCCCCTAGCCACGCTATTCTTCGTGAGGAACACACCATGCTTGCTTGAGCCTGGGGCCTTTACACTTGCTGTTTCTTTTGCCTTTGTAGAAAGAACTTTGGGTGTTTCAGTTCTTCAGTGGTCTCTTAAGAATCTGACCAGGTGTCCCCTCAGAAGCTGTCTTTGATTGTTCCATCTAAAGCTGCATGGCTCCCTGTTGAGAGCCACAGCTGAAGGGGCCCCAGCAAACTTCCAGCTGCCAGCAAACTTCCAGCTGCCTGCTGATGATTGGCTCACAGCAGCCCCAGCAACATCTAGCTGATTGGCTCCTCTGCGGTGATGCTCATTGGGCTGTTTCCCTGCCCTTTCAGACCACGGAGCTGCTCATTGGGGGACTTTTTTGGCTCCGCCCACGTGACCCAGCCGATCGGCCTCAAGAGCAGGAGGATTGCGGGAGGTGGAGAGAAGCTTGTGTGGGAGAGAGAGGCTTGTGGAAAGCCGGTGGTGGCAGTTGAGGCTCTGAGGGTTTTTCCTGAGAGGCTGTTTTGTTTGGCGTGTGTGGTTCTAAAAATAAAGTTAATTTCTTTTGACAAGTGGCTCCTGATTGTGCCCAGCCAGACTGCGGCAGCTCCCCACCATTCAGTTCCTTTTTACTCCTTGATTTATTTTCTTCATCACAAGTATTACTTTTTGTTTTCATACTATATTCCCTATTATCATGGTGCCCCATCTTGTCCCTTCCAGAGGAACAGGAGCTTTGTCATGGCTCCATCCCCAAGGCCTGAGACACTACCCAACACAGTACCCAGGGCTTAGACAGAAATGAGCACTTTTGAGTGATTGGATTAATGCATTTATTTAAATAGTCATCACTTCAAAATTGAGGTAAAATAATTTTAACACATGTAATACTAGCTTAATGAGTCATTTTGCTTTGGAAATTTTTCATTCAGCTAAAATTGTGGGCCAGTGTTTGTTATGCTGGGGGAATCAAACTGTGCATACTTGGTGGCACATGCAGGCATTTCAAAGGCTGAAGAAAACAGAATTTAGTCTCCATCCACAGTAATGGTTCACAGCCTAGGCCACAAATTAGAATCACCTGGAAAAATTATAAAAGTCTGATGACTAGGCTGACCTCTATAACACATAATGCAAAACTTTTTGAGAGTTGGATCTGAGACTCCATTAACATTTTTAAAAGAATTTCCTCAGCAAATTACATGGGCAGTCAGATTGAAAAACACTTATTTGTGAGAGATTTCTTTTCTCAAAAATTATTTCCAGTGCTGACAACAGTATAGGGAGTATTTATATACTTGTTAAATGAATTAATGAGTGAATGAATGAATGTAAAGAGTGTTGATAGCTGACTGAACTCATGAACACCATTTGAAGAGTCTACTAATGGGTTGCCAAATTTGGCAAACAAACAAAATAACCAAAAAGACTCCCCCATTAAATTTGAAATTTAAATAAAGAACTTTTGGGAAATGTATGTCTCAAATATTATATGGGCATAACTAAAGAATGACTTTATTATTTACCTGTGATTCAGATTTAACTGGACATACTGTATTTTATCTGGCAACTCTACTGATGAGAGAACAGTTAAGATTCTTTTGTAAAAATCAGTATTTTATTAAAAATGTTAAACAATTTGGTATCAAAATGGTGATTTAATCTCTTCTATCTTCTGCTATCCAAAGCTACCAAAAAACAGTCCATCATCTTTATGAATAAAAGGAACTTTACCTTTTGAAGATTTTAATACAACAATAATAAAAATAAGATAAATTATTGTGTTCTAAACATTTGCCATGTGAATTTAGAATTTAAATCTTTCAGCACCTGTTTTTGAATTATCAAATGTTGTACCCAAGAGTAGGAAAAAGCAAAGTTAAGCACAAAATACACTTTCAGCATAGCCTGTGAATCGGGGACTACATCACAGGTCTTGGGCTTTGAATTCTTGGTCCCTACGATGTGTGAGAAAGATTGCAATATTTCAGGCAACAGACCTTTATTTCTCCTAAGCTATTTTCTTCTTGTTACACAACTAAAACAAATTTACATGATAGTAATGAATAAGACCTGACTTTAATGCTGGGAAAATAAAATTATCAGAGCAAATCAGTTGAATAATTTATCATGCAAGTAAAAGCCTCAGTATACTTTTCCTTAAAGACCCATAAAAGCTCCCATCAATCCTTTGTAAATGTCAGACAAACATGTGTCTACCACCAGGTGGCGTGCTCACAAGTTCAGAAATTCTCCAGTGAGTTGGTGACCCAAAGAAGTTATCAATTATGGTTCCTTTTGAGCATGGAAAGAATGGAATGAAGAAAGTGCAAAATAGAAAAAGCTGGTCACTAGCATTCACATTTCAAATATTTTCTTTTCCCAACCAGATTGCTAAGTACAAACTAGTTCCTAAGCTTCCCGCAGACTTTTCAAAGTGCCTACCTAGAGTTAGATCATCAACAGATATTTGATCTTATCTGAACACTGTCTTTTGTAGTATGAAGACATTTTCCTTAAAATTTGTCCAAATGTTGTCATAAAAACCAAAGGTTTTCATCAGTTTTCCTTGGCATATGTAATTTTCTTCATGGAAATTTTAGAAACCATCCCTAATTTTAATGATTGATGGCCAAAGAAAATATTAAAATCAGAAGAGGAAGAAAAGTCAATCCAGATAAAAATTCTTATCTACCTATCCCTTAATATTGAGACTATTTGGGCAAAGGAAAAAATCAGGCAAACTCTGTTGCTCAGGCTGATGGTCTATGGTATAGAAACAGGCTGATGATCTGTGGTATGAACACAGGGACTCAAACTCATTTTTCTGACATGAAGTACATCTGGCCTGATATTCTTTCATAGGCATTATTTCACCTTACTTTTTCAGAGCTTGAGCTAATAATAACAGGTTTTGTCAATCCCAGAAGCACGCACTATTTAAGGTAACTGATGCAGATAGGAACATAACATTGAAATATAAAATTTCAGATTTTATTCCTCTAACAATTGTCCTGATGGAAATGGATTCATGTGTAGAGTGCTTAGCTCTATTTTTACTAGTAGAGGTTGTCCTCATATTTACTTTGCAATTCAGTACAAAGGTGAACATTCTCAAGAGACTGTGCTTAAAATTGTAATCCTTATTACAAATATCAGTCAGTTTTTAATCATATGCATAACTGTATGTTTTCAGTGCATTGATTTTATTCTTAATTGGTACCTGTGGTAAGAATAACAGCTACTCCTTGATGAGGCAGTATGGTAGAAGTTAAAGGCAAGTTCCCCATGCCTTTGTCTTCCTGGATTCTGACCCTAGCTCTGCCTCCTACTTGCTTTGTGACTTTAGATACTATTTAATTCTCTAAACCTAAAATTTTTTATTTGTAAACTGGAGATAATAAAAACATCCCTTCTGGCACTATGGACTAAATGAAAAAAAATATATATACAAACAAAAAAATATATATACATACAGCATTTAGGAGGTACTTGATGATTGGTAGCTGCCATTGTAAGGGTAGATTTGGGAAACTGGAAGTTAACACTCAAATTTACTCACCTGTGAATTAGATATAATAATAGTAGAAACCCGTTAAGGCTTTTGTGAGGATTAAATGATGTAAGGTATGTGACACTCTCAGCTTAGTGGCTGGCACATGGGAAGCAAGTCAATAAATAAGAGTCATTATTTTATTTCTTCAGGCATTATACATATCATATCTCTAAGGAAAAAAAAATATTATCCTCACTTTATTGAGTAGGAACTTAGACAAACTTGAAAGTAGTTGAAGCAGTCAAACCCCATTCTGGCTCCAGGGCCCCCATCCTTTCAGAACAATCTGTTTGACTCCACTCATATCTCTAACCAAATGTCATTCTGCCATTAAGAGACCTGATGTTGAAAGATCAAGAAACACATTTTATTTTAATTTAAATACTGCAATGGAATACTCCTACTTTACTGATACTCTCCTGTATAACTGAAAAATACATTGTTTACTCTGAGTTTTAAGGCCTCTTATTGAAAAACACAATGATATTTTTTATCATTCAAACAATGAAAATGCAGAGATTGTGTAACCAAAGAAAATAAGAATATCCCTTAAATTATCTAAAATCTCTGACAGAGTTATAACTTGCTTGTACTTCTTCATGCATTTCAAAAGATCAAGAAAACTGATATTTTAAACTAGAATTATTTTTTACAGAGAATGTTACATTAAATTATTTTTACTTCTAATGCTTAATTTTTGCCTCTAGTGTTTATAAAAATGCACCTGGCTAAATATAGCAAATCAGTTGGTGTTCCACATCTTGGGAAACATCCAGATATTTATGGTCTTATAAAAGGATATTTTCAAAACACACTTATTTTTCCCTTTTCAGCTGCATGTGCTAGCCTAGCTATTATAGACTTAATTATAATTTGCTTTTTTAGTATAAAATAACCTGAATCTTTTCACAGAGAAAATCCATTTCAAAAATATATAAACTTTAGAATACTCTGAAAACATTCTGGAAAATTAAAATGGGGCAAAAAGGAAGGTTTGTCTAAATACAAGGAGAAACAAACTTTTTCTGTCAAAGACCAGATAGTAAATATTTTAAGCTTTTCAGGCCACATGGTCATTCATGAAACTTCTCAACTGTAGGGACGGCTGGATTCCAGTAATACTCTCTTTACAAAAGCAAACAACCATGGACTGTGTAATGTTGACTTGGGTCTGAATACACCGAAGATACCAGATAGACTCTACTTGGGGTAATAAGTAAACATCTGTCATCATACATTAGGGAGAAATTTCTAAACAGTGGCATCTATCACCATCTAACTGGCTCTGAAAATCATGGGGTCATGCTTCCCTACTTTCCTTGCTCTACTTCCTGTCTCCTGGGAGACTTGACCTAAACAGACTGTAGCAGCCTCTGGTTTGGGGGTAATACCAGCAAGAGATGAGAAGGCAAAAGAAGAGAGAAACTCCTCCAACTTTGAGATGGTAATTCAGATGCTGCTTCTGGCTGCCAGACCTGGGCTAGTACCTCCTAAAGGAATCTCAGTCTGTGCACTATTTTCCCCCCTCTCTCCAAAGTAAAGCTTACTGCTTCTTTATATCTATCTTTGCAAGACAAGCTTCCTGCTCAGACCCATTTAAAAAATATCTGATGGATATACTAAGGTTAACCCCCTCAGAGTAGAATATCCTCTTTATCAGAAGACTCCAAGAAACACCGAAAAAGAAAATAATTTATAAGGGGTTCCTAACGCTGTTCTCTAGAAAATGAGCATAAAAAAGCCATCTGGCAACTCCTACCATGGAGGTGATTATTTCTAAGGGAAACCTTAATACTTTCCAAAAACTAAGATTTGGGGTGCAAATTTGTTTTCTCATCTCACTGCATGGTATTAGGGCTCTAAAAACAAGTTGCATAATGTCTGTTCATGTTTTTTTTTTTTTTTTAAAAGAGAGAGTGAGAATTTTTTTAATGTTTATTTTTTAGTTTTCGGCTGACACAACATCTTTGTATGTGGGGCTGAGGATCGAACCCGGGCCGCACGCATGCCAGGCGAGCGCGCTACCGCTTGAGCCACATCCCCAGCCCGTCTGTTCATGTTTGATAACAACTTAACTGGTACTCTAGAGAAATTTTAGATTTTCTCTGTATTTTTAGTTAGTAAGTTGCCCAGGATACAATTTAGAAATGATGCAATAGAATTCAAGCATGATCATTTTTTTTTTTTTATGTTTTCTTAATGGCAATTAGAGAGGTTACTGGTTTTACTAGCTATGTGTCTACAAAGGTATGTTCTTGAAAATAATTATTTCAAAACTATGTTAGTGAGCCACATGTGTTTTGGCATTTCCAAAAGTGTGCCTCTAGGAACACAAATCCTATGTTTGGACATACAGCCTGCTCTTAAAATATCACAAAGCACAGAAGTTAATTAAAGGCTCTGAGGTTTGCTGTAGCTTACCAAACCTTCTCCACTAAATATTTCCAAGCCTATTTAACCATGAAATCTAAGCCTTAATATGATTTATTAACATTCCATGTAACTTTACGATATCCTGGCATAAGACGTTTGTTCTTGATCACTAGCAAAATTATTACTATTTCACTCAAATTTTATTTTTTAAGTTTTTTTTTTTCTTCAGCACTGGGGATTGAACCCAGAGTCTCACATGAGCAAGCAATCCACCACTAAGCTACATTCCCAGCCCTCAAATATTTTTGATGTGTTTAGTTGATTTGAAACTTTGTTACTTAAAATTTTTGTCTTTAAAAAGATTTGGAAGGAAAAAAACAATTACAAGACATTCCTCAAAGTGTCTGTATATACAGCTTTTTTTAAAATTTTTATTATTAGTTGTTCAAAACATTACATAGCTCTTGACATATCATATTTCATACATTTGATTCAAGTGGGTTATGAACTCCCATTTTTACCCCATATACAGATTGCAGAATCACATCGGTTACACATCCACATTTTTACATACTGCCATACTAGTGTCTGTTGTATTCTGTTGCCTTTCCTGTCCTCTACTAACCCCCCTCCCCTCCCCTCCCCTCTTCTCTCTCTACCCCATCTACTGTAATTCATTTCTCTCCCTTGTTTTTTTTCCCTTTCCCCTCACTTCCTCTTATATGTAATTTTGTATAACAATGAGGGTCTCCTTCCATTTCCATGCAATTTCCCTCCTCTCACCCTTTTCCTCCCACCTCTCGTCCCTGTTTAATGTTAATCTTCTTCTCATGCTCTTCCTCCCTGCTCTGTTCTTAGTTGCTCTCCTTATATCAAAGAAGACATTTGGCATTTGTTTTTTAGGGATTGGCTAGCTTCACTTAGCATAATCTGCTCTAATGCCATCCGTTTCCCTGCAAATGCCATGATTTTGTCATTTTTTAGTGAAGAGTAATACTCCATTGTGTATAAATGCCACATTTTTTTATCCATTCATCTACTGAAGGGCCAAAAACAGCTTTTGCCTAACAGCAAGTATTAGGACCGCTCAAGTCAGGTCACCAGTATTGGTTGAGAATAAATACTTCCTACCCTGTCCAATGTCCATCTCAGGTATCAACACTTGGAAGCATTCCTAATCCATTGTCCAGTTACTATTCCCTTATGTTTTCTTTTTCTAGCATTTAATGCTAGTGTTTACAGTCAGTGATTTACTTATCTAATCCAACACTCACTAGGTTATAACCCTTTAGGGCAGGAGACTATGCAATCATCTTTGTGTTCCTAATATCTTATACAGAACCCAATTTTTAGTAGATACTTAGTAAATATATGCATATAGGTATATATGTACACATACACTAATCACATATATGCATATATATACTCATATATGCATATATACACATAGTAGTTGTTTAGGCACCAGTTTCTATTTTAAGCAGGGTAAAATATGCAAATCTTAATAGTAAAGTTTAATAAATTTTTACTTTTAAATAAACCTCTGTACCTATCACCAGATCAGAACACAGGTATTTCCATCCTGGTGCATTTACTGTGCAAAGTCTATATAGAAATAATTTGCATCCTCACTAGACATTTAAGCAGTGGTATTGCTCAGGAACTGGTGTACAAGCTAGTTGATTTCATGTTAGTACTTTGATGTTTATTGTTGATAGTATTTGCATCACAAATTGGCAAAGCTTTTTTTAAACCCCCAAAAGCCTGTTGTTAAACATTTACCCGCACATCACTATATATGATTAGTGTATGTGTGCATATATACCCATATGCATATAAATAACATATATAACCTTCC